CTCCTACTAAAATCGTATTATTCCTCGTATTGACAATCGTTTGATTCGTTTCAAATTGTTTTTACATTGAATGTGTTTCAGAATTTATGGAGAACACCAATAGCAGAAGCAATTTTTTCTTCCATATGCACATTCCATGCTAAAGTATTTTGCATATGTATGCCAAGATAATTTAACATTTGGCATACAACAATTTTGAACTCTCCAATATTTATATAAAGTGCTTGATCATATTTCAAGGTCGAAATATTATCACTTTTTCCTTATTTGAATTTATTACAAGTTTGTTGACACTACAATAATCCATAAATTGTTTGAATATTTTAAAGTCGACGCCTAAATGTATGCATTATATGTTATTAATGTGAAACATGTGAAAGTTTGTAAGATGCGCCTAAAAGCATGCATTGGACCGTACTAGAAGAAATGTATGAACATATATATCCACAAATGAGATTCCCCATTTATCTGTGAGTAATCACATATCATTTGCGGAATGATATTAAAATATAATCCTAAAAATATGCAGCAATAGAACAAGGTTTATCGGCGGAAGCTCTAAAAGTTGACGACAGAAGCGCAGCGGAGTTAATTCGACCTCACATAATATTAGGTTGGCAGGAAGAAAGCCTGTATCCAATGTGAAAGAAAGGTATCGTGGTGAAGGTGAAAATTCAAGCAATTGGGGGAATAACTTTACTCAACACATTATACAAAGTTATAGCAGTCATAATAGAGAAAAGAATACAAAGCCAGGTAGAAATCATTCTGAGAGATCAGACAGCTAAAGCTATATAGACCATACCAACAGCCTATATCTACTGTTCATCGACTTCAAGAAAGCCTTCGACACCATTAGAATAACTGCCATTGAAAATAGTCTGAAATGGAGTACCCCATCAAATAATCGAAATAATAGTAGCGATATATAGTAGAATGCTGAACTGTCAGTTCTTCTTTACAACGGAAACATTAACCAACCGATTCGCATCCTCTCGAATGTAGATTATAAATGGAGTGTGCTGTCAGAGAACAATCTGAACATGAAGACTCTCACAGCAACTCGAAGACATAGGTTATGCGGATCACGTCTGTCTTTTCTCTTACGAAATATGCAATATGATTGGCTTGCAACCACCATGATGCAAGACCAATAGATCGACCTTGTAGCATGGTGTTTTCTGTATACTAATATCAAGTTCCAATTTGCTAGACAGTCTCTCCAGGTCTTCCACCAGGTCTGCACTGTTACAACACATGGTGGTGCAGAAAGTTTCATAAATAAATGCCTGAGGATCATACAATTTGCATTGTTTATTTTTTCAATATTTTACAAGTACCTCGCATAGAATACAAGTAAAAATTCTTATAATCATGAAAAGCAACTTTTTTTTTCAAAAAAGAAAAAAATGTAAACCTTTCATTATTATGAAATATTCTCATAATTCGTTCTACTTTACCATCATTTCCTATGTCCTCTTTCTCTCTTGACAAAAAAAAATATTCCTCCAAGAAGAAGCAATCACCACTAATTGTTCCGTTTTGTTTTGGTACCTCCTTTCTCTGTCTCTCCCCTCAGTTGGTGTCTGATATTTGCAACTGTTTGTTTGTCTACTGTTTATCTTGTTTACACATACACGATTCTGGATACGCGTCCACGATTTTGGCTGGTTTTGCATTTCATTGTTTCTTTATTTCAGAACTTTTACCGACCTTGTATTGGTCTTATAAAATTCGCATATGTATTTTCCAAATTATTTCAATCTAAATGCCAAATGCAATATAACAAAGAAGTGTTGATACAAGCGAAAGATTAACATTGTAAAGGATTGGTATAATGACGCAAAGCAAGAACATGTAGGTAAATAAGAAAAATCGAGACAAGACAAAACAAAGAAGAAAGCATAAAATCAAAATGATAAACACAACTCAAAATTTGTTTTTTTTTTCGCCCTCTCCCTGACAAAAAATTAGTATGTAATGTTTTATGAATTACATTCATAAAATGCAGAAATCGGGACATTGCCATTGAACACTATTCATATAATATACGAATTATTTTTTTCTGTGTATTCAGGATATTCTGGGACAAACCCTTAAGTAATAGAGAACATATGAAACCTAACGAGCCAGTAACTCATACAAAATTAAATGTAGGAAATTAAAATTGTCAACAGCATAACTAGAATGGAGCTTGAAAAGGATCTCGAAATCAAGGTAGATCAAGAAACACCTAGGGACGAACAAAGACCCAAGAAGGAAACAAGCATAGGGTTTGATGTAAGCCCTATAATTCCAAGATGAGTAACGAGAAGAAAATCTATATGGTTTGTAAATTATCTAGAAAATCACTTGAATATCTCATCTAAATGCCACTTCATCACATCAAAAAACCACTACCACATTCTAGCATTTGAAAATTCTTTTTCTCACCAAAATTTACGACTCAATACTGACACTTTCGACACAGAAGCCATAGCAAATGACTTTTAATTAAACACTGATATGTGTTGTGTGTAGATAGAGAGAAATTCTGTGACTAATGTCAAAATTGGCCGAACAACAGCAACGACTACCAAATAATTAATGGCGAAAAAATAGTTAACAGGAAGAAGATATATGGAAAGTCATAAAAAGAAAATTAATATGTTTGATGGTGGTGTGGTGTGCTGTATTTTATTTTTTGGCTACCGTATATGATTTGAAGATGCTGCTGCCGCTGTGATGATGATGATTTCTCCTGGCAAGGAGGAGACAAGAAAAACCGGAAAAATCGTTTGTCAAATGGTAGTTATTTGGGGAGATTCTTTTCTCTATAGTTTTTTGGGGAAAGATATTTTGTGGGTAAGCTATTAAAATAAATGAAGATAAAGCTTAGTGGCCTGATTAGATCTTAGATAGCCAAGGATGTAGATTAGTGGATTACTGGAACTAGTTTCAGATTTTCGGAAATACCATTGCCCCTACCAAGTGGTAAGATAACTACGGCTCCATCGAAGTTGACTTTAAATTCTGAATCTTTTTTTGTTTTTAGATTTTGTTTTTTACCTGGAAACCTGTCCTAAAAATTTCCCCTAACCTCTATGTTCAGACAAAAAAAAAATGTTCCTAAAACAAAAATCATGAATTGTCATCTGCTTAATTGACAGACTATATGGACAATTAATGAAGAAGACATCTTGCCGCTAAAAAAATCAAGTTTTCGCACACCAAATTGGAAAAGCTCCACTAATTTCTAAAATACAAAAACTAACAGCCATGATAAGCCTGCAACAACACTCCCAAACTACATCTTCTTCTTCATCGCCATCGTTGTCATCCAGCAATTTGTCCCTATATCATATAAGATGTCCGAAAATGATGCCGCTGATGATCATCATCATCCGGAAAGATCATAAGCTTAGGCAATATGACAAAGAATTTTAAGAGCACAATTTCAGATGACAACTGAAAACTTGTTTTTTTTTGCACTGAGGAAGCAGAAAATCTGCATTTCATCAATAAAGAAAAAACCCAACAACATGAAGAAGAAGACTGCGAAAGAAATTTATGAAGAATCGGTCAGACAAAAAAATATTCATTAAAAAATAAACACTTGTCATTTGAATGAAAAGATATGACTATGACTGGTTCGGTTGGTAGGCAGGCAGGCTGGCTGGATCGGAATGACAGTGAGCAGGCTTTTAAAGTGTGACATTCACAGTGGTATGCAATTCTTTGTGAGGAGAATATCTGTAATAAGGATTCAATATACGGTAACATTATAAATAATCCAGGTTCAGCAAAGGTCGCCGAAGTCGATTTATTATTAAATTTTAATAATCAATTTTAAATCGAACTTAAGTTTCCAGGGGATTTTTTTTTCAAATTGGGGTTCCTCCAGCCGAAACACAACTAACACCACTGGCATTCTAATAACCAAACTCGGTATTAACACGTGAGGATAAGACACAATTGGAAAGGAAAAAAAGATAGCGCCACCCTGAGAAAAACAAAATTAACAAGGACACCAAACACTGCACAAAATTCCAATAAGATTTTGGCTCAAAATTATCTGATTTCTGTCCACATCTATTCCGTTTTCATTCAACTACGTTCGAGTTCTGAAAAATATTTTTTTCAGAAAAAATCTGTAAGCATAAATTTTTTTAAACCGACGGGTCCCTGGTTTCAATCCCTGTACAGGAGAAGAAATTCATGCGAAGTGGTTTTCGAATATTTGCAAAAAGAAGCTTACATCATCCTCTAGATAAGGAGCATTCGAAGCTCCACTCCGACATTTCAATAACCACCAACCTCGGTATCAACATCAAAACTTGAGGATAACAAAGTTTAAAAATTTAAGAAATAGCTCCATCCAGGGAAAAATGGTTACACTAAGTAGCAAGGACCCCAACCACTGCCAAACATTTAAAGAGGCATTGTTTCTATGAAACGATAGATGGCCGAACCCCAGTAAGGGAATAAACATTCTTTCAAATTAATTTTCGAACATTTGTAAATAAAAGTCTTAAATTGTCCTCCAGATGAAATTCATCCGAACCCCTGACCTATGAGGATAACAAAAAAAAAAAAATTATATCAAGAGATAGCGCCACCTAGAAGAAAATGGCAACAATCAGTAAGAAAGGACCCGAACCACTGAAAGCAATTCAAGGAGACATTGTTTGTAGAAAACGATGGATGACCAAATCCGAGGTGATGATGAACAATTGTTTGGCATACAGCCCGGCAGGTGAATAGAAAAATCAGTTATTAGCGTGGGAACAAATTTTTGAAAGTAATTTTCAAATATTTGTAAATTGAGGCCTACACCACCGTCCAGTTCAAATGCATCGGTAGTCACCTGACGTTCTAATAGGAATATCAGGAGATGACCCCAACCACTGCACCGTATTCAAGTAGGCATTGTATCTATGAAACGATAGATGATCGAACCGCAGCAGAGAAATAAACATTCTGTCAAATTGATTATCGAATATTTTTAAAAAGAGGCTTACATCTTCCTTCTGACCAAATGCCTCCGAACCCCCAGACTTTTCAATAACAGGCAACATCGCCATCAACACAGGCGCTACCTAGTGGAAAAAACAAACACTAAATAAACGTTGTTCCCGGAAACTATAGATGGCAGCACCGTTACATAGAATACGAATACCCTCATGATATAGTAATTTAGTTTAGTAGGCTATTTCTGTTAGTTTGTAGGAAAATATACCAAATACATCGGATCCATAATCACAAATTTGATTGAATTTGAGCCTATCTGCACTGTTGTCGGATGACTCCAAGTTTAATTTCTTTAATTTTTGAAGATATGATTTTTTAGGCCCTTAAGGACTATTCCGATCAAAGGGTATGTTCCACTCCTCCGGATAAAGTGAGCTTACTGAGTATTCCTTCAAACGAGCATCTTACTTGGCCCTATTCAGGTGAATTCACGACTGACATGGAGGTGATATTTCAATGCTTTCAGCGGAAAGTTGCTGGAACATCGTTGATACTTTATTGCATATCTTGCAATGGTTGTTAGGTTTTAGTCGTTTGATGGTCCATTGTCGTCCTCCCAAGGTCTGTCTGTATTGCTGTCAGTTGAGCCTAAGCTAATATCAAAACGATAATTTGTTTTGTTTGGACGGACAGGTTTGACGAAGGAACAATGTGGCCTTAACTCTTGATTTGTAGCTTGCAGAGGTCATTCTCCTTCTTGGTCATGTCAAACTGTCCCCTCTCTGAACCAAAATTTCACATTTTTCCCCAGAAGCATTGTTTGGTTTTGCCCGAATAGCTGGGTTGGATGTATGCGGAATCTTTAATATTTTACTCCACATGGTTTTCAATTCTTTAGAAATTTGAGTGTTCGTCTCTGACGTTCCTTTGACAGTGTATTGAAGAAATTCGTCCGCGATTTTATTCATTCAGTAGAGCTTTAATATATGCCAGGAGGAGATATGAGAAATTCAGCATTAATATGTTAGAGTGGATATAGGTATTAACCCCCGATATTTGTGGTATTAGTGATATTTGTGGGTATTATAAGAGGACCTGTCCGAATATACTGCTCCGCTTACACTTTTTAAATAAATAGTTACCATAACAGAACCCAAAGAGGAATTCATCCAAAATTTATCAGTACACATGGTAAATGTTCTTTTAAATGAATGTAATTACCATACCTGAAGCCACAGAGGAATTCGGCATTAATGTATCAGTGCATTTTTAGCTCCGGAATTTAGTAACTATAACAGGACCCAACGAGAAATTCAGCATAGATGTATCATCGCACATGTCAGGATGTAGCCCCAGCAGAAAACGTTCATCAGGGAGTAGTTACCATAACAGAAGCTAATGGCAATTCAGCATAAATGTATCCGACCACATATTGGGATTTGTCCCAGCAGAAAGTGAGTGCTTTGTGGTATTTGTATAAAAATTTTAAAATACCAGGCCCCTTTTGGTCTACTCAGAACTAAAAATTGCACCTCGTATTGCATCTTTAGCCACTAAGAAACAAAATCAGATGAAGAAGAAACGCAATAACATTGTCTGTTGACTGACTGAGTACTAGTGGTGATGAGTGTCCGTCATCATCATTATGACAATCGTAACAATAAAACACTGATGGCTTATCGCTCGGGATGTGAGGTGATGACTGAGGCCGTGTGCGGCTACGTGCAGCACAGCAAATAAACATAAATTTAATTTTTAAAGATGTTAGCAGTTTTAAAACACACACGACAAAAAAAAAACAGTAATGAAAATGTCAAACGAAAAAAAAACAACATCAACAAAGTGCATATGGAGACTTTTTAAATACAGAACTTTCTTTTGTAGACAAAATAGGTTTTGCGACAAATAAATGAGGATTTTTGGGGGAGGAGCTCTAATAAGATAATTTTTCTTAAGGAGATTTAGAAAAAATAATTCAATTCAATATCAATTTATAATACAAATAAAAAAAACGCTTATTTTTTAAATATGATATGACAGCGAAGGTCTTATGCCGGAAATATTTTATATGTTTCCCAGATTACTAAGATTTCCTCACCCATTTGTTTTTTATAGATCTTCCTCAATACCCCAATATTTTCTCATCGCTGCATCCCTAAACCATTGTCAACAAACCATCCGAAATATGAATATAGGTTGACAACTGCTGTTAACGCCGCCGTCAGTCTTTTACATTGCTCTTTTTTATAAAAAAAAACTACAACTGCAACAAATAATAAAACATTTTCAGAAGTTATCATAGCCCAGCACGGGCCTGTCATCGTCATCTTCATCGCAGACCAGAAATGTAAATAAAAAACAATTAACAACTGACATATAAATTATACCCCACTCCGATGCCTTCGAGCTGAATTAAAAACCATAATTCAAAATTATCTTGTAAACAAGAAATGTCAAAAAAAGTTCGTATAAAATCAAAATTGTCGGAAAATGTAGAGCACAATTTATATTAAATATTTAATCTACATTGTTTCGATTGCAATAAATTGTTTTGGAGGGATCTATAAAGGAAGATATATAAAGTTATGTATCTGTGAACAACACTTGTTGAAAAAATTCCAAATGCGAAGATCTTCATAAGTTTGTGTACAGAGCAGAAGTTCCATCGATATTTCTGCATTTGCTGACATCTTTAAATCCGATAAAAACTTAAATAGGTTCCCTAGGAGTCTATAAAATAGAACGTCGAATGTATGCATATGTCAATTGATCACTTCGCCGGAAGACGTCAGGCCACACCCAAAGAAGATTGTTTTGAAAATCATTTAGTAGAGAACGGCGAAAAAAAATGATTTCCGATCTAATTAATGGACCTTGGTAAGGTAAAGGAGTATTGGTTGAAAACCCAATAGCTCATCTTGGAGATATTCGGTCTCCAGATAAAGGAACAGAATATAAAGATATGTGAAGTTTTTCTATCGTTTGCCAAGGAACGGACGGGTCTCTTCTATGAGTAAAAATTGAAGCTGTACGGAAAAAGGATATTTTTTTTTTAATTGGAGAAAAAAATCTTTCTCAAAGGAGTACTAAGCGATGACACAAAAATGAACGCCTGGAGCAAAGGAAACTAGATGAACGAAAGGAACAGGAACTAGTACAGGTCGTTCCAATTGCAGAATAGTTTTTTTGAACTAATTCGTTCCGAATCGACCCAACTCTACTTGCCGAAATAGTGGCAGCTTGTGAAGAAATTAAAATGTTAGCCCAGGGCACAAAAGAACGATGGGAGGAGGTATGCTCGGGATATTCGGTTTCTACAAAAGACGCTATTTAAGAAGAAAGAAAGAAAGAACGAAATTTGTTTGTGAATGAGTTAATACATTTTCAAAGGAGCCTAAGTTCGAGAAAGGATATGACCGATGGGACTTCCCTTGAGGTAGTATTTGTAAGAAGAACTATATGACCAAATGAAACTGAAACTAATACCGATAGTTCGCACTATCGGTATTATGACCGATTGGACTTCCCTTCAGGTAGTATTTGTAACTAGGTGAACAAAATATCAGGACCTAGTACCGTTCCTTTTGCGGAATAGTTTCTTCGAGTTAGTTCATTCAGGAATGACTCAACCCCGATAACTCAGCTACTATATAAATGGAAATTTTACTCCATGGCACAGACGAACAATAGGCCTATGCTTCAGAAATTAATTGTAGCCGATGAGGTAAATATGATATACTCGAGATCTTCGGTTTCTAGAATAAGACGTTGATTGAGAATAAATATAAAGTCATTCGCCGAGAAGTCATTCGTTTCGGAACGACCCAACTCTACTTGCAGAAAAAGATGCAGTTTGTTAAAAAGTTGAAAATTTACAAGATGGAAGAAGAACAATGAACAGAAATAAATTGAAGCCAACGAGGTTAATACGATATCTTCGGTCTCTAGAATAAGACGTTGTTTGAGAAGAAATAGAAAATCTTTCACCGAGAGAAGATAAACGATGGGAGTCTCCTTGAGATCATAGTTGAAACTGGTGCGAAAAGGATGGTGAGGCTGAAGTCCTTTTAAAAGGATGAGACGATAAATGTTTAAGATCATCGGCTAATTTTGAATAGATCGGAGGTCATTTATAGGGGTAAAATAAACAAATGGGATCTCGTCGGAAATATTGATCAACTTACAAAACCAATTATCTTCGTTTCTCTAAAGGAGATTATTTACAACTGAGCGAATCTTTACAACTGTCTGAATCAAATGGAGAAAATTGGTTATTAACAAACTTACCTTTGTTCTGTAAAGAGGATTGCTGAAATCCCAATCTGGTGCTACAAATAAATATCCACATTTTGATACTTTGCGGGAGGCCTGTAAGGGGAAAAAATGAAAGAAAATATATATTAGAACGAGTCAATGTGAAAAATTAAAGATAATTTGAGGGGATATAATAAAATTAAAACTTAAGGAAAAAGTTTGAATATTTTTTTACAACTAATAAAAAATATAAATAAAAACTAATAATGAGGAATTATAATATTACCAAAATGAGTAACCGTTTCACAAAATATAAAAAAATTATTACCAGGCCAAGACATGACTTTACATTTATTTTGATACACGGTGTTCGGTATGCTGTTCATTATTTAATTTCAAATTTTAATGTTAAAATGTCAGCATCTGCACCAATTTCAACAAAACACAATACGTCATTCTAGTCTCAATTTGATACGTTGTGCAAAACTTCGTATCAATCGGACACATATAAGGAGTTTGGTGCACCATTTACCTGAAATCGGACGAAAAAAATATGGTAGATATATCTACATTTGAACCAATGAAACTAATTCATATTAATTTCAGTACATTGTTCAAAATTGTGTGCCAATCGGACAAACTTTGGGTCTTTAGGGCACAATTTACATAAAATTTGACGGAAATATATATGGGAGTATATCTAAATCTGAACCGATTTTCACGAAACTTAATACACGTCACTCAAGACTCAATTCAGTGTGCTATGTCAAATTTCGAGCATATCGAAAGAAATATAGGGACTTTTGTGCTCCATTTACATAACATCGAATTTAATTATATATGGGAGATATATCCAAATCTGAACAGATTTTCACGAAACTTAGCACACACCATTCTAGACTCAATTCAGTACGATATGCTAAATTTCGTGCAAATCGAAAGATATATAGGGACTTTGGTACACCATTAACATAAAATCGGACCGATTTTCATCATTCACATCATTCTAGGCTCAATTCAGTAATCTGTGTCAAATATCATGCAAATAGAAAGAAATATCGGCGCTTTGCACCATTTTTCATAAAATCTGACTTAATTATATATAGGAGCTATATCTAGATCTCAACCGATTTTCACAAATCTCAGCAGACCTCAGGGACCTTGGTGCCCAATTTACATTACATCGGACGAAAATATATATATGGGGGATATATCTAAATTTGAACCGATTTTCACGAAATTTAACACACACCATTCTAGACTTAGGGACTTTGGTGCTTCATTTACATTAAATCGGACGAATATGTGTATATATATATAATTAAATTAATAGTTATTTTTTCTTAATTCTCGAATATTTTCTAATTTCCGATTCGATCGATTTTTAATCTTTCTATTTGTAATCATACATCAATTCTTGGCACTATATATCATTTAAGCCTCATATCATTTTACTTTTATAAAAACGATTTCATTGCAATTATTTACAACAACAAAAAGGTAAGTTATTTATTTTTGTATTTAAATACTGGTAGTCCGACGATCGTTTAGGTACCTCCAAAAAAAATTAGGTACCTCCATAAATTGCAACACTCTTTTTTGGTGAATGGATGATGTTTTCCTCCATCAACAACTGCACAACAACAACAAAAACACTACAAATTGGTCCAATTGTGGTTGTTTGCTATCTTCCAACATAACGACAAACAATCACAGCCGAAGTACTGAAGTCACTGAAAAATTTCATTAAAAAATGAAAAAAACCCTCCATTAAATGTAATTTACGCTTGCAGACTATTTTGAATAATTTTTGTTGTTGTTTTCAAGTAACAACAGCAACAACAGACATTAAAGAAACCAGAAGCTACTATTTTGACTACCAGTAGCTAATGTAATACCAGAAAAAAAAACACAAATATTGAAATTAGCTACCGGTTATATTTTTTCCCTGGAATTCCAACAACATCTGCTGGTATGATTTTGTTTTATTACAAATTATAATTTGATTTTTTCTTTTTTTGCTACATTGCTGGTGATTCGAAACCTAGGTGATTTATTGATTTCTATGTAAAAATAATAGAGGTTTTGTAAGACGGATTATTTGCCGTGATCTGTGTAAGATCTAGGGTCAAGGCCTTGGGACCTGAAAATTTATTATTTTGTTTAAATAAATTGACAGACTCGGATTTCGTGGCCCTGTAACCGATCCAAGACCCTTGGATCATAATAATTTACTTTATTTAATAAATTAAACCCCCTCCACCTCTACAAATTTTAAACCCCTTCCTCTTAGTTATATGCCATGGATAACTTAAGTGTAAAAATTGTCATTAAGACAAACACCCTTTAAGGCGTGATAAATTAGTGACCAATTGTGATTAACCCAACTGGCATTTTGCCCAAAACATAGTACACATACATACACACAAAAATAATCTTAAGCTATTTATCAGGGAAAATGTGTCACCTGAACAAGAGACATATACAATTGTGCCTTAAACGGTAAGGCAAAAAAACCGAAAAACGGAGAAAAACGTTATAATGGCTTAAACGTGTTAAAAATCGTGTTATGAAGTTTTGTGGCTGATTGTCGTCGAATGGCGGCGGCACAACATTAAATAATGTTGTGGCTTAAACGTTTTAACAACGGTCAAGAAAAAAAATCAACATAATCTAAATCAGGGCAAAATTAGCAATAAAAGAAACAGGGGTGTAGGTTTGACTTCTTTTGGAAGGGGTCAAATGAAAAAATTATATGGCCCTTGAAAAAATATTTAAAAAATCCTCGCCTCTTGGAGGCCTTGAAAAAATATTCTTCTTGTAGGTCTTGAAAAAATATTCTTCAATAAATCCACGCCTCTTGTAGGCCTTGAAAAAATATTCTTCATAAATCCACGCCTCTTGTAGGCCTTGAAAAAATATTCTTCAATAAATCCACGCCTCTTGTAGGCCTTGAAAAAATATTCTTCAATAAATCCACGCCTCTTGTAGGCCTTGAAAAAATATTTTCTGATAAATCTACGCCTCTTGTATGCTTCATAAAATATTTAAAAAAAAACACTCCTCTCACATTGTTGTTGCTAATTTTTAATTGCATTTTGAAAAAAATGAAATATTTTTTTTCATTATCTATTTTCATAGATATTTTTCCATCAGTCTTATCAATTAATTAAGTTCACACCATTATCTATGTGGCTATATAAAGTAATATGGTGTCCATAGTTTTTTTTTTGCTTCCACCTCGAAGCATAATAATGGTCAATGGGATTAACAATAGCAACAACGACAGCAATCATGTCATGATTGTATTTCGTTTTTATTTTTTTGTGCCCAACACTTTATCTGGAATTTAAAAGGTAATTTTGAAAATGAGAAAAAATCAGTTTAGACATGACCGCTAGCCCGGTAGCCAAGGTAGGTTGGTAGCATGAAACTATTGTTCATTGTATTCATTATTTTTGGAGACAGAAAATATGCGGAGAACAGATTTTTTTGGCGTTTTATGACTTTAAGTCCACATTTATGAGGGCAATAATAATCCATTAAAATTGTTTTGCTGAAGAATGTGGTTAGATAGAACTGTTGGGCGCCATATCGGTTAGGTGGCAAAAGAAGACTGTAGTGGTACATTTTGCAGATATACGGATTCAAAAAGGTAAAAAAATAGGTGGATCGTCCTATAATACCAATGATAGGCCCTTTTCTTTAGTGTAACAATTTCAAAGGTTTGAAGGTAAAAACGGGGACCTAGAGGTTTCGGTTTGGTAACCAATTGAGAACTAGAATATCATAGTACTGGAATATCAACCGTCCACTTACGAAGCGCTTTAGAAAGGGATACTTCTATGAAGCCGAAATCATCACAACCCAATACAATTCTGAAAAAGAATTGTCATGTTTGTCAAAGGGTCAAGAAATGGCGGTAAAACAATTAAACCCTCCGTCTATGTCCAAAAACAGAAGCTGGTAAAATTTTTAAATATGACATGACGGGGCAAAACTTTAGAAAGCAAGAACTAATTCCTTATCTTGGATATTTAGAGAGATCTTAAATACCTCGAAGAATAGATTAGCACCTCCGTACAGCTTCAGAGAAAGCCTTTTAAGACCTCAAGAAAAATAAGTTATATTACATTTTAAACCGGTTCTGAAGAGCACTATGTAGCTTCGAATATATGACGGCGACCTCGAATGAAGACCGAGATAATGATGATTAGCAACATAGAAGTCCGGTTAGATCATAAAGGGATCGTTAGAAGTTGCTAGGTAATTAAAAAATAGAGAACGTCATCCCTCATAATGATCTGATCTTAAGCACCAATATCAAAGAACAATACTGTAGAAGACGGAACGGCTGAATACCAGCGTTGGGGAGATAAATCATTGTAGATCCTTAATTGCATGGTGAGGACTTTTGAAGAAATCCAAACCATTCCTGAAGAAGTCTAAAGTGGTTAATATTATAAATTTCGGTCCGATAAGTTGATGACGACATCTACAGAAGCCTCAAAGGGTACTAATGTATATATAGGTCAACTTAGATGATATGGAGTTCTGTGAAGATTCAATTAAGTGGTGAGGTATCAATTCGAACGAGCTCCATAGGCCATATTATGTGATGTGGAGTGCTATAGAGATCCACAAGTTATGCTTATAGACCCCTATGTAGGTCAATGTAGTGATAATAACGACCATAGAGGATCGTAGAATTTTATAAGAAACTGTATAGAGATTATAACGTGATCCGATTAGGTGATGAACGGGTTCCTACAAGTTACACAAGGTGCTGAGCACACTTTTATAAAGATATCACATCATGTGGAGATTTAAATATTTTGCCACCTATTGCCTCAAGATACTACATAGAGGTTATAAGGGGAATGAAGGTGGTACATCGAAATCATTTAAGGCATACGGAGATCCGGTCAGGTGATGAAGAGGTTCCTACAGGTCTATTGAGGTTATAACGAAAGAGAAGGAGATATTTAGAAATCATCGTAGACATTAATGGAGGTTCTGGGGGACCGATTATGTGATGAGGACCATCCTTCAGGTTGGACTAGGTGCTGAGCAGGCTTCTTGAGGTCTCAAGAGGCCACATTATGTTATGTGGA